GCAAAAGAGTTCCGCTAAGTTAAGTAATCGCGATATCAAGTATTCAGGGGCTGTCTCTAGGTTTGACAAGCTTGGTCACTAGCCACTTTCTAATACCTTAACTTTCACAAACTTTATCTACTTTGAGATCAGTATTACAAATTAATGTAGCATTAACCTCTAGTCACTTGTTTTATTGCACATATCATTTTCTTTGACTACAATACGCCTCACCCACCCCGTTTGCTCTTTAAATCTTATAAACAATATCTATGATTATGACACCAACCCTGTAAACGAAGTAGATTATTTTACAGACCAAAAGCAAGTTTTTTTTAAATGTTGTTCTGATATACACATGTACAATATACAATTATTGCATGATAGTGAGGAAGACATGAAGATTTCTTCGCCCATGAAAAATCATATTCAGAATATAAATATAAAGAACATAAAGAATATGATTTTTTATGGGCGAAGATCGAAATCTTTATGTCTCCCGAACATTCATGCAATATTTTTTTATTATATACCAAATCAAGCACAATGCAGGAAATATAAAGAAAATCCAAACAAGCTAATTCAGAGAATTCGTGTCCCCCGCTTAGGGAAAAAGTCGGCCCCCCTGACTGAATTTGTAGAATTATTAAATGTATACATTGTACATGTATACTGAAGCAAATAAAATACATGTATGTCAATATGCATATAAAAATTTGATTGCTTATTCTTTATTATGTGTATAGAAGATTTTTTTATATGGAATGTTTATCACACTGTAATGATGATTTTATAACCTCATAAATTTTTCATTTCACATGCTGAATACTATCATTTAGTAAAAAAAAAAGTATTTAAATAAAAAAAAGAGAAAGGTTCGACCGAGATTCGATCCCTGGACCTCTCACACTTGAAGCGAGAGACATAACCACTAGACCACGGAATCGCTTTACTTGGCTTGAAGTATATGCAGAAGTGAAGTCACATACATGTATTTATTCATGTTTTCATGTTCGGTATTCTCAAAATTTTACACAATCCATGGCGTTTGATTTATTTAGCCTTTATTAAACAGTTCTAATAGATGTAATAAGAACATAAAGTCCGCCGAGAACCTGTTTTATACGCAATAACTCTCCTCATGCCCCTGCGCTAAAAATAGCGACATGTAATACTATAAATACTAATAAAACAAACGGGGCGGGGCACTTTGAGAGGGGCGAGAGACGTCCTAGGGAGTTTTGATATAAAATTACATTGCTTAAGCTCAAAATCTTCTTGAAATATCGCCCGGAAATAATAGTATTACACACAGACAGAATGTAAAAATTTACGACCTTGAACTTTGACCTTTTGACGTCAAAATCAATAGGGGTCTTTATTAGGCCACAGGGAGTTGTTATATAAAATTTCATTGCAATAGCTCAAATGGTTCTAGAGATATCGTGTGGAAACGAAAGTGTTTTAACAGACAGAATTTGCTTATTTATGACCTTGACCTTTGACCTTTTGACCTCAAAATCAATAGGGGTCTTCTTTTGTTCATAGGGAGTTGCTATGCCAAATTTCATTGCAAAAGCTCAAAGGGTTCTCGAGATATCGTGTGGAAACGAAAGCAATACAGACAGACAGAAAGACGGACGGACGGACGGACGGACAAACCCAAATTAATATCCCCCACTTTTCAAGCGGGGGACAAAAATAAAGTTTACATTTGATGAGAACAATATAAAACAGGTGTTAGTTGAATCGAATGTGTGAAACACGAAGTTTTGTTGCAGGGCAAACATGACGGCCAATCAGATTATACTTAACTTGTGTTTATTTATATGAGGTATAATACTGCTCTTTGTTGAATTGTAATTTAATCAAATGACCTCTTCGGTACATGTATAAAATATTCAATGACTTCCTGATGGTCAAATCCGAAATTTGATTGGTTAGTTTTGATCTTGGATCTCGGAACTCGAATTTCGAATCTCAGATATCCTATTTCAAAACTCTATTTTTCGATGAGCCTTTCGTACCTTTCGGGATCAAAACATTATAGTCAGTATAATTATTCCAGAAACATGCAGTCCCAGGTAAAGTAGTTTCAAATGTTTTGAAATCATGTCCTTAGAGGTAAGAGAAGGACTTCATCAGGTCGAGACCACTAGATTTTCTGACGTCAGAATAAATTTGCATGTAAATTAGCTAATATGTTTACTTTACCTACTGCTGAATGAGCCGCAATGCATTGTGGGCTACTACAAGTACCTAGCTGTGTTGAAAATTAAAGGCAACTTGAATTGTCCCTTGGAAACTTATTTTCAATTCTTTTTTGAAATTTGTGAAAGAAATATTTAAAATGATGCATAATCTTTCATTTTTATGCTCACATTTACAAAATTTGCTTTATGAAGTTTTATATCAACTTATAATACATCGGTATACCTTTGTTCAAGGAGACGTATAAGTGCTATCGTGTTGATAAAACATTGAGTTTTTTTCACGTGATATACGTGAACATAGCTTTCGCAGGTAGTATATAGGTCCTTGTTTTTAGACAGCAGGAGAAAGTGTGCAATTATTTTTTAACCCCTAAATATTATCAGAAAGTGTTTTATGTATATGCAAAAGTCAAAGCGTTTGTACGATAATCGAAGTAACTGTTAATCATCTAAAACAACTCCAATATTAAATGTGAGCATGGAGCAGTGTCTTTGGAATATAATCTTTCAATTTCCGTCTAATAAAGTTATAAAGAAGCTCTACAGTTTTTCCGGTGACGAGTTAAATTTTGTGCAGTAAACCGACGAAAACCACGTGTAGCTATTGAATCGTAAAAACGTTGTAGACTGTTATGCTTTGGGACTCTTTCACTTGATTGGAGAACGGGCATGACGAAGACATCGTCACGTGTTGAAAATTGCCTACCATATAAGGTAGTGGTCTCGACCTGTTAATGGAAGATCAAATGTGGGAACCAGAGATATATATATTTCAACTTTTTAATACTGAAGTAATATCTGATTTTTCCTCACCAAAGTGCTCATATGCGCGATGTGGTCATTATAATGCATATAGTTACTATGGTTTAACATGACTATTTATATAATAGTGTTGCATTATGCATGTACTATGCCTAAATAGTAGACAGGGTTTGACACATGGTGCCCGAGCCGGAGGCGAGTGCACTATGTGCTAAACCCTGCCTACTATTTAGGCACAGTACATGCATAATGCAACACTATTGTTATTATTATGCTGACTGTTGTAATTAGTTATGCGGCAATTTGACTTTTTCCTGAAAATATCGGTGGTAACATGGCACACTTGCAAGAACTCATTCAAAATCTTCATGCTAAAATTGGTTGCATGCTGAGTTTTTTGGACATCAGGTTACTAGTATTTTCTCTAAATAAGACACGATTTTCTGTTCCAAAGCGACTCATCTTTATTTTCTGTTTTGTTAGTAAGGCTAATTTGTTTGCAGACGTTAATTCTCACTGATGGTTTCTTTTACATCCTTTAATCATAGACCTAAAACGAAGGGACCGCCGACTCCTATGACGTCACAATAGATATCACTATACGATCTTCCTCCGATTGCAGCGCCCTCACCTGGATGTATAGAAAACATCCGGCATTACAAAGATAACGTTATTTACATCTAAATTGTCGAGATATTATAGCATTGAATGAATTAAACTTTTGCCGAATGTACCAAATTCTTTTTACTAATACACTAAAGAGTTCCTTGAGCAGCTTTTGAGGTATTTATCTTGTTTTTAATGTGTAAAAAAGCTATACAATATTTGAGTATTTAACATGACAGATGATCACCACGTACCATAATCACAGAGAAGCTGTTAAAATGCATGCGAGGTTGTTCAAGATGCTGCTCGATGAAAAAAAAGTTCATATATAAGAAACAGATAGGCCTATTAATACGTGGATTTTTTAAAGAGTAAAGATCTTATGATTAATAGCAGTGTTTGACAACGTTGATACATGTAGTTCGCAACAGACCCCTCATGTGGCACCCTATCATGACTACGGTACGGTAACACGAGTAAGGAGGTAGACATTTATCATCAATACAAGCATTCTTTGATAAGCCTATAGCCCCCCCCCCCCCCATTTCATTTTTTCGCCAAGATATGATGTAGGCATTGATCATTGGGGCGTGGGTTTAGCACCCCCCCCCTCCTCAATTTCGACAGGCACGTTATATATAGTTTAAACCAACAAATGGATAAGTGCCAAAGTGGTAGTGTTTTGATAAAAATTTGGTACTGAAAGAAGTTCGATTCTAACAACAACCTCCCTTTTTTTTGCTTGTCAAACTTTTTCTGGGCTTAAAATTTAGCATAGGACTAAAAGGTAGTTCAATATTTATGCGCACAAACTTAATTAATATGCATCGTTTAAAAAAAAGAAGAAAGAAAAGTTGATCCCATTTAGATATGATTCTTTTAATAAAAAAGAACATTTTTATTGACTACATAACAAGGTATAGGGAGTATAATTTCATAAAAAGACAACCAAAAAAAAAAAAAAAGAATTACAAGTGCCTGTGTGTTTTGAGCTACAGTAAGTTAATAAGTTATTATAAAACTTCTATTTAGGCAGTGGGTTAAAGATCAAACAGTCTAATCATAGTGGCAGTAGAACTTGCATACATGTATATAACATAATTACTTACTAGTGTTTGTTCCTCAAGGCTGCTAAGATTGAATATGATGCTCAGGGATTATTTCATGTATTTTTGCTTTGCAGTTATGATTGATTACATTGAAAATAATTATTTTAAAAAGACATTAAATGTGCCATACATGTACATCTAAAGCAGTGCTCACTTATACAAACTCACTATAGAAATGGCTGACTTTTTAAACTGTAAAATCACCTTAAAAAATTCAAGAAGTAACTCTCATATACAATTTTAAACCATGCAAAATTAATATTAATTATCAGTGCTTTTTACTGCTTTAAGTTGAATAACCTTTTTAATAAAAAAAAAAGGTGGAAAAGTCTAAAATATAACAATGATTTTAATAATATTTCATTATAGTCATATTAAATTACAGTGTATTTAATATTTATATTGATGCAGTTTGTCTTTGAGTTATGATATACAAAAGTTAATAATAATCACATTCTTGATATACACAGTATAGTTGAAAAAATTGGAGTTCTAAACAGGATAATTAAATCATTGAAATCCAGTTATGTGCAACTCATTCGTGCATACATGGGACACACCACTTGGCACTTTTGTTGATTTAATCCTGTGCAGGTTTGTAACCAATCATTGTTCCTTCACATTTGACTTATTATACCAGAGTGAGATGGTACATGGCATGGTACATGTTCTCAAACATTTTCCATAGAGTTTGGTGTTCAAGGCAGAACCCTATTTTCATTTGAAAAGTGGACAGGCTATGTACAAATCCTGTGGGGAAAAAATAAAAAAAATCTCTTAGAAAATCTTTTGATCACTGACAATGCTGTAATCCTGATTTAACACGATTAAATAAATCTTTTATTAAGAGTTATAACTAACTATTTAAAAATACATAATTATGTAGATCATTAACGGCCAACGGGAACATCTCAATTTATTTAATTGTTGAACGGTACTTCACGATGCATTTTTTATTTTATCAGTTTATATCAATTCAACATTGATGTGAAATTGGTCGTTGTTTTAAAAATATTGGTAGAAAATTTTTTCCTTATTTTGTAAATAAAATAAGAATATAAATTATGTACTACCGTAAAATATATAATCGACAGCATTCAAGAGATGTCACGTCGTAGTCAGCTGATGTCTGCAGTTAAAACGTTTCCATCGACTCCACAGCGTTCCGAAGTTACAAGTTCCGAAGTATAGTCAGTCGATATCATTTCGTCATGGAAAGCTTATATAAGTGATTGATTTTTCTATTTTGTTGTTATTTCCTTAAAGAATGCAAAAAATCATGATGCGACAACATTGAATTCATTACACGAAGTCTGTTTCTATACATCCCGGTGAGGGCGCTGCAAGCGCATGAAGATAGTGATTGTGACGTCATAAGTCGGCAGTCCCTTCGTTTTAGGTCTATGCTTTAATCAAGCGTCACATAAAAAAGCGTTTTAATGACTCCATGATATAAGTTCATCTAACGATCTATATGTGATTAGTTTGAAACTTTATTGTACAAATTTATCTAAGGTTCCTAAGAATAATATAACTGTTTTCAAAAATATTTGTCTGCTTTCTCCTTCTTGTGTCAATTGTATAGATTAAGTTTATATATTTCATAAAATTCCTCCAATCAGTGATCGTATCTGTGGCGTAATCGATAAGGCATCAGACTGATAACCTCATGATTGTGAGTTCGATTCCCGGCGTGAGCATTAAAGAATATTATTCTGTAAGTAACTCCGTGCACTATTTCGGCATAGTATGCTTAAGCTATATAAATCCTTAGAGCACTATCCGAGAATAGTAGAGTATGGGTTATATAGAGACAAACTGACAGGAAACATAATTTTATGCTAGAAAACTGCAAACTATAATATTGTTCTCCCGCCAAGCCAAAGTCAATTTCCAAACGTCAAAAGTATTTGAATGATTTTTCATTTTATATTGATATTTATTTAGGAATTTTCATAAAACATTACTTAGTTGGGAAAACTAGGAGGGATAACTCTATTTAGTAATCTTGTATTCTCCACTAGAAGACGGAAAACGGAAAATATTTCTTTTTAAATAACCACAGTAAATCACAGAGACAAGGCTCCTGGAAACATCAAAATATGAATGAAAAGGAATAATGTGAGTGCAAATGACCGCCGTTGTAAAAATACTGTAAATGTTCCTTTTTTACTCGGTCATTTCAAATTCACTTAGATATTCTAGGACAAATTCTTGCTGAGCAATTGTGACACAGCACAACTTGTAAAACAATCATATGCTAAAAATTATTTATCATTATTAGCTTCATTCTGGAAGCTTCACAATCTTCATGACTGACAATATGCTTTAAATTTCATTGTCATTTGTTTAAAAATATTACATGTATACAATACTTGACAGCTGATTGTCTTGTTCTAACAGCCCTCAGGATTGTAAACAGTGTCCAGTATCTTAAGCATAAATGTGTGTACTATTTGGACAGAAAACTTTGCAACATGTTGAAATTATCATCACAGATAGGAACCATCTCACATTCACTGTATTTAGCTTTGTATTACTACAGGACAGGGGGATATATTGAAACACTGTATATAACTAACCAAACCAAACGAAGACTTTCAGAGCCCCATGTTATACATAACGGTATGGGAGATAGTTATAGATACAGGGAATATGTCAGTGGTCTGTCTTTGTCTAGGAGAATTAAAAATGCTTGGGCATTGTCAATTATACTTCATCCTAAGATAAGTTATATTGAAGAATTAACATTAGAACAATCGGCTGCATCTCAACATTCACGCTATTTACAAATTCCACCATGTGTAATAGTACAAATGTTGTCAGTGTTATCTCACTATAGACTGGGTAATAGATCTCAGTGTTTACAGTCATTGACAGACCTACAGACACTGCTGCTCTATGATGATGGGACATATGTTCCTTTAGAAGAAAGAGACATATCCTGGCAGATACTAGGAATATGTCAGCAAGTTGTGGGAGACTTACACGGGGCTTTACATGTACAATCTTATGAATTGTAGCTTAAACTTGGACCATGTCATGATTCGCAGGAAGCTACAAAACATAGAGTAGACAACTTAAAAAAATTAATTGTGTAGAAATGTTTTTGAATTATTTTAGATTCTGATTGTCAATTCATTTTTGCAGTATATCAGATTTGCAGTGTTTTAAAGAATGTCTATAAACACCTACCAAAAAAGAAGGAAAAAAACTTGTAAAATACTAGTTCTGTATTGATTTGGTACATACATGTATGCACCATTATATATTTTTTGCTTTTTATTGTTTTACATAATTTATATATTTATACATAATTGTGTATACTCTACATTGAAACACTGAAAAATAAATTCAAACTTAAAACACTAGGTTTCATACCTTCCCGCCCATATTATTGCAGAGGTGTAATGTAAATCTGTATTTCTGTGGGGAGAGTTTACAGAGATAATGTCAAGTGTAATTCTACTGATGTCTTATTGTGAATCTAAATAAGTCCATATGTGTACTGCACATTAAAATAAAGCATAAATTATTTAAGGAATCACTGTCTAGTTTTGAGAGTATGCCAGGGCATCAACAATAGTGGGAAACATGGGATAATTTGCATAACTGGCGAAGCCCGTTATGCTAAAATTATCCCATGTTTCCCACTATTTCAATAGTCCTCGCACACTGACGTCAAACACAAAGGTAGCCGCACGAGATTTACATGCATATTTGGCCTCCTTAGCGTCAGACACAGAGACAGATGCGCACGAGATTTGCATGCGTATTAGGCTTCCTTAGCTGCTGACCTATCGACCTGCCTAATTTACATTCCGGCAGAATTATCAGGAAATCAAAAATTAGAAATGGAAATATTAACATGTGTTGTCATTTACTTACATTCAGACATGGCTTAAGCTTATAAGAACCTTAATAATAATCAAAATATAATGAAGCACATGGGTATTTGCTTTAAGCAATATGAGCTGCATTTTTGAGAATTTTATTTTTCCATTAAAATCTGTTATAATGATAGATTTGTGAGTAATTTAAACATCATGTTCAATTATACTAAAATAAGGCATCAAATTATTTCAGAAGAAGGACTTCTGTATAACAAATACATAGTATTATGTAAGAAATCAATATTGTACAGGACTACAATAACGCAATTTTGCTTCAGTCTTCATGATCATAGATTATAAACAGTTTTTTACCGCAAATATGATCAATAGAACATTACAAATGTTCTTTTTTTCTGTTATTGAAACAGTTAATTACAATTCTGCAATAATAAACTCCGACATCAAAGTTGCAGCTCATATTGCTTTGAATATCACAACTATCTATCTCTCAGTGGGATTAATGCACAGAAATAATGATTTGTCTTTAGGTGTAAAGTGTCATTTTATTGGGTTCTTCCAATATTTGATGAACACCACAAACTTTACATTTATATATTATCAAACTTTACACCGACTTTATATCTTGTCAAGTCAAGATAAGAAAGTCGGAGTTTGTCGACTAACATGAAAGTAATCATGACTTGACGAGATAGTTATCCTGATTTGACATGCTATGCTATGTTGAAAAAAAATTGTGGATGGCATAAATATGCCACCATTAAACACGATTTTATATACGATGAACATTTTGTAATCAAGGAAACAATCCAACAATGAACGTTCTTTGTACTTTATGTTACAAGTCATTAAATGATCAAGCCTCTTTCCCATTTTAGCACTTTTCTTTGCTCCTTTCACCAAGTTCGTAATATGACCAGGCATTTTCATTTTCACTTTTTAAAGAAAAAACAATATGTGTTTATCAAAATACTAAACTGTTTACCTAGATTAATTCATTCTTTATTTTTTTTTAAGTTTATTGTGTGTCCTTTTTAAGGTGCTTAGACACAGATTTTAATTAACATGTTTCTCAAATTTTTTGTATATTATCACAACTTATATATTACAATAGCATTTCTTACGAATATACAATTAAAAGCTTATTTTATCCGGAAATTATTGGAACTATGAATTCTGGGAAGCGTTTGTTTAACCAGAAATTCAAAGTTTCAATACTTCGAAAAGAAATAAGAATTTTACTGTATTTTAGTACGAAATGCTAAAGCAATATATATTAAGTCATAAATATATACAGAAATTTTGAGAAAGTATTAACTTTAAATCTGTATTTAAGGAGCTTTAACCTTGTTTTCACTTCCGAACACAACTTCATTTTTTTTACCTCTTGTCGAGAGATTGAATTTAAAGTTCACGGGAAGATAATAAGCACAAATATATATTAATATGATCTTCCAGTCTTCTTGATGTCCCACCTGCTATCTTGGTTCTGTATTCACTGCCAGCTTTCCGGCGGGGGGGGTCTTTTTATTTTTACAAGTCTTAAAAGTCTGTGTATACCCCCTCCTCTAGCTATTTTAGAAAAATCTTTTCTATATGTAATTAATACAATGATAGCATGGTCAGTGAATATAAACCACGGGAATATTTTAAGGCTACACTTTACTTGCTTATACATTTATTATTTGTTGTGTTGCATCCATATCTTGCTTGTATGATGTCAAATACTGGCATTTCCGTATTTACGTTAGTAAGTAAGTAAAATCACAACTTATTTCTCTAAAAACAAATATTAGTAACTCGCATGTGACATAATAATTATGCATGTATACAATTTTATCTTACATTTTGACACACTTTTCTCGCATGTCAATATGTATAGGATCTCCCATGGTTTGTGGTTTGATATGATTTTTATCCAACGAGTTGTGTGTTTTCTATCCCCGAACCTTGGCGAGGGGATAAAAACACACAACGAGTTGGATAAAAATCATATCAAACCACAAACCATGGGAGATTCTTTTCATCACATATTTTTTTTTTCATTATAAATGTGTATTTTGTCTTTATTTCTAATTCAAAGTTCCCTTTCGGTTACCTCGGACCAAATAACGTAATTAGCGGAGCGGATAGTGGGGAAAATATTTCACTTGTGGATACAAGCACCAAATTTTGCATGAAGGTTCTTCGACTATTACTGGAATAAGAGATATCGTTGGCCATTCAATTTTCGGCCATTTTCAAGATGGCCGCAGCTTATTTCAAAATTGCATGTTTTCATAATTTTTTATTAATATTTTTA